AACACGGGGAAAGAAATAAACTTAAAACCAAATATAAAAAACAAATAGTTAAAGAAAATTTACCCAACAAAATAATAATCAAAAATAGAAATAGAATTATTCACAAAGATAATATAAAATTCTAAGTATTTATATATCATCCTTTTTTTCTTTCCTTTCCCAGAAAATGTTTTTTCAGGTGCTCATACTACACCTTATTTTATTAACAAAATCAGAAATAATTGACTATACAAGTCACGAATATCTTCTATTTAAGGACAATAAAGACGTATTGACGTACGATTAATACGCAGATTTATTCCATGTATCTAACTTAAGCTTTCATAAAGAAATAATAAATTTGGAATCAGATAATATTAAAAGGGATACTAATAAAAGGTCACAATGGGAAATTAAATATGACATAGAAATAATAGAACTCATTTTATCACAATTAATATCAACTAGATCAAAAAGAGGGATAAATGAGTTAGGCACCGTGTGGAAATGGTTAGCTGGAACTCCGGACCATGATGATTTTATTACAGTTCAGAATAAAATTAATGAATTAATTGAAAACAATAATAAGCAGTCTATTATCAATTCCCGATTATTCAAAGAAATAGAATCTCTTTCCGATGATTTTAAAAAAGTATTTATTGATCAAGATCTACCACTTCGAAAACATCGCTTGCGATTATTAACATTTGATCTGCAAAATTTAATTGACACAATCACTTTAGCAAAAATAGACGTTTTTAATACAAAAATTTTAAACAATGATGACATATTGGAAATATTAAAACATGAACAAAAACCAGTAACTATTGCTGATTTAATGGACATATCTTCTTTAAAAATCGCATTGCATAAAGAACTTTTAATAATTTATATAAAATACCCAATAATAAAAAACAGATGTGAAATATATCACGCTAGAGCGATTTCCCAAATTAATGGAAAACTAGTATTAAGCAATCAAGTCGCAAAATACGAAAATATTTTTTATGAAATTTCTAATTTTAAGAACGAACTTTTCAATAATTATTGCACTCTAAGTAACAAAAAAACATGTTTTACCCGATTATTAAATGGTGAGAAATCAACCTGTAAAAAAATAAGAGAAAAAAATAAAAAAATAGACATCATACAAGATGGTGCCATTCCTATAAATGGGAACAATATTGTTAACAACTCCCATTTAAACGGTTTGTTTTTAATAACATTTAATGGTACAACTAAAATTAATAATATCTCATATACCAATTTGGAAAATAAAATTTTTGAATACGTAACTACGAACCACTTTAAAAATTATGAAATATCCGATTACATATTATCAAATAACTCTGATTTTTCTTTAGATAATATAAACATTTTAAACCCTTTCGTTAAAATTAAGAATACTATGGTAAAATACCACTTACCTTTATATTATTAATTTTTATCATTATATATTTGATTCTTTCACTTATTATAAAATACAAAAATGCTATATTATTTGTAACCAAAAAACATCGGCCTGAACCAGAAAAATCTATTAACCAAGAAAATTTATTAACAGAATTAAGAGATCATTTAAACGAATTTCATATTGAATCGGGACGATCCATTTTAAAAGGGGGAGAGTTATCCAACCCCTAAATACAGGCCACTTATGGCTTTAATAAACAATATTTTCAAGCTTTGCATTTGCCTTAGGCTTGATCTTTGGCTCAATTATCCAACCCATAAATCCAGGCCACTTATGAATTTTTTAAACAATATTTCCAAACTCTGCATTTGCCTTAGGCTTTGTCTTTGGCTCTGAGGTCCGATCTCGGTTCCCCATAAACAAATCAAAATCAAAAGTAAACATCAGCTTCCCTCCGAAGCCCAATCAATTACTCCTTTTGCGTTTCAAGTACCCACCAAATTGCATCGATCAGCTTAATCGAATTTCACAATAAGATGCGACATTTTCATCTTAAGCCTCTAATCTAAACACAACTGATGGCCAAAGTTCTTTGGATCAGATTTAGAATTAAGAAGTCAGTCCCTTTTTGACCGAGACCGCGAACGGTTGACAAAAAATATTCAAGAGAAATCAAAAGTGTCTTGTAATAATTACGTTTAATAAATAAAGGTTTAACACCAAGTTGTATAATTAAAAAATAAAATTTACATTTATTAATTCACCGAACTACAAACAATTTAACTTGCATCCTCGCAAAAAAGCACCGTAACCTCTTTTTGCTGCCTAATTTCAGCAATGAAGATTACGTAGCCGACGTCAACGCTCATCATCATCAGTAGGGAAGCACTAGGGGGGTGAATCAATATTCGATTTTATCCCAAGCTCAAAACTTCTGGTAGGTAACAGGGGCTCTGAACCTATCCGTCAAGAACTTTGATCCGTCAAGAACAGAAGAAAGGTACTTGACATCATTTTTTACTAAGACTCTATAACAGAAAGGGCTGTTAGATGGAGAGTCTTAGAGAAACACTCCTTCTCGGCGAACTGAGAGCGCTAAAGAAGGAAACTAGATAGATCCTTGGGGGAACCTCCAAAAATGGGCGTTAACAACACTGAAGACCTGAACGCCATGATGGACCCGATCATGCACGAACAATCAAGGAACCTCGGAGGGCTCCCACCTCAGGAAGGTCCTCGCAACCACTGCACCTAATAAAAGGTACATCAAAAGTTCTGATGGTAGTTGGACCACGTCCAGCAACGAAACCCTAAAGGTTCTTCTGAGGAGCAAACAATCAAAGAAACTCGGAGCCAGGGAGCAGCTAACTCCTCTTGAGCCAGCTCAAAGACCTCTTTAGTATAAGGAATCTTATTTGGGCGATAAACAGTTTGAAGCCAGCACAACTAACTAAGACCGGGTCCACTCTGTGGTTTTGAATTAGGAAAATCTTCACAGCAATCTTCAGAACAGGTATCGTGCCCGAGAAGTGGTTGCGGACGAAAGATGCCTTCATACCCAATGGAAGGGCCGTATAGGAAGGGCCGATCCACGGAGACGGTTCTCCACGAGATCACCATGTTTTTCGAAAACGCACTCCCCGAGGAGGTGTAGCAATGGTGGTAGCAATTGTCTTTACTAAAATTTCTACAGACTCTATGCGACCGCATGATGGACAAATTGAGGGTTCTCTCAACATGGGCAGATAAGAATGGGCTAGGTGTGAATTCATCCAAGACTGAGCTTGTCATCTTCGTGGCGAATAATAGCCTTTTACGATCCCTAGAGTTGGTGGTTGCAAGGTTATTGTTTATGCGGATGATGTCCCAATTGCCTTCTCTGGAAAATTTCTCCAGACTCTATGCGACCGCTTGACGGACAAACTTAGTGTCCTCTCAACATGGGCAGTTAGGAATGGACTAGGTGTAAACCCATCCAAGACCGAACATGTCCTTTTCACTAGGAAGTACAAACTACCATGTTTATGCCTTCCAAAGCTGTCAGGGGAAACTCTTACCCTTTGTGGTAACAACAAGTACCTAGGAATTACGCAAGACGGAAAACTGAACTGGAAGCTAAGCACTATGGATAGAGCATCAAAGCGGCTGTCGAGCTTTATACCTGCGGCAAGGCCATTGGACTCAAATGGGGTATGTCTTCAAAAATAGTAAGATAGCTTTATACAGCGGGTTTTAGACCTATCCTGTTCTACGGGGTATTGGTATCGTGGCTTGCCCTAAAATATTCCATATGTAGGGAAAGGTTAAGGAAGACGCAAAGGATGGCGGGGGTATGCTTCACAGACAGTCTCCGTACAACACTAACTACGCCCTAGGCTTCATCCTCGATCTACTGCCTTTAGAGATATTGGGGTTCAAGATAACCAAGCTATTGGCAATGAGGCTACATGAGGCGGGTCTATGGAAGTGGACTAACTGTGGACCCGGGACCAGCGGGCTTTCTTCATATATATGTGGATAATTTTAAGTTGAATGGCCAGGTGTGAGGCGGTTTCCACTGCTAGCGTCTGAAATAATAGCTATCATGAACGCACTTAGATCGCTAGCACTTGCTGGCACACAAGGAACAATTTTTATTTTCTGAAATAGTCAAACGGCACTCCAGGCTCTTGACGAATTTTAATCCAATTCTATCACGGTGAATGGCTGTCGCAGATCTCTCAACGCGAACATAAAACTTAGTGTCTCCTTCTGTTTGTATGCATTCATTATTTTAGTTTCCCCCCATCCTGAAAAAAGTAGAGATTTTAGTTACTAAAATATGACCATTTTTTGGTTGAAAAATTTTGTAAAATACCTTAACAGCCAACTTTGGGCTGTTAAAGCTAGTCTTTCAGTTTTAAAACTATCGCTTTCAAACTTTGAACACTCCCCTTCCTTTCCACGCAGCTTATAAGTCTTAACGTCCAGGCTCAGCCGACTATACCCTAAATTGCCACAAAACTGATTGATCGGAAAATCCGTAGTTGGTGTTTTTAAAGATAGAAATTTGGGATTTTCTATGGATTTAAATTTTGATTCATTCTACCAAATTTTATAAAGATCGGCTGATCAACTTTGCCATTTTTAAAGATAAAAGCTTGGGATTTTTTTTTTTGTATCGGATAAAGTATCAAATATACATATGTGATACATTTCCGATCCTAACTTATTTTATACTTAGATCGTAAACTAGGCTAATGCAAATTAGGCTAAAAAATACAAATGAAATTGAAAATTTAAAAGCTTGTCATATTGTGCAGTGAACACCACCACACTTTTTAAACAATTATTTCGCAAAATTTAAAAGGCAAAATATACCTATAGAGTCGGAGCAGTCGTCTCGCTGCAAAATTTAAATACCATTTGCAAGTTTTCAAAAATAACAGTAATATTGTATTAATAATTGTTATGACCAAACGTTGATTTATCTCTTTCTCTTCAGTCGTCGGAATGTTCGGGTAAGTACTGTCTTTGTTAATAACTCTCTTCTCTATTTTGGGCAATTTTTTGTAATTTTTAAGTAGTAAAATAAAATTTAAATATTTCTTTACATTTCTATACATACCTGTTTCAGCAAACGTAATTATTTCCTGAGTATTTCCAAAGAAGTCTTCTTGTTCAAAATTTTCATGATCATTAAACTCCGCCGAACTATAACGCTGTTTTAGTTTTTCCATATTCATATTGGAACTAAAAATATTGGTATTCGTTCGATAATATCCGCTCTTTGTTGTTTCCGGATCTTGATTTTTGTAGGGGCTTTGAACACTGTAATCGTTAAAATACTCATGATCATTGGGCTTGACTGCATCATTTTTCTCGTGAATACTGTCGCTACTATCACTACTAGGATTTATATTTATCAGATATGTGGATTTACTAAACGGACTAGCATTGCTTTTCGTAATGCTGATGTCATTAAAACTCTTGCTGGCACTACTTTCGCCAGATCTTTGTAGAACTTTAGAAGAAAGACTTGAATGATGTTTCGCAGATTGAGACCAAATATGAGTACTCATTTGCCATGGACGATGTGACCAACTTTTATTAAATATTTTTTTTGTTTCGAATTCTTCGCCCTGATGCCCTTGTCTAAATGATCTATAATTTTCCAGGGATTTCTCGTATCTATTGCTTTTATTAGAGTTTAATGAATTAATAAACAGGAACCGACTGATGGAAGCATGCTGTGATGTTCCATCATTTTCATTTAATCTTGAACTCTTTTGACGAAATTTGCTATTAATATTCTCGAAAGCGTTGTTGATAATCCGATCACCATCTGCTCGATATATTGTTTCCCAAATAAATTGTTTTGGAAGGGGGTTAGATACATTTGGCTTATGGGTAAGTCCAAGCTTTGTTAAAATTTGCCGTTTAATGGACTCCAAACGAATTAAATCTCCCGGTGAAATGTTATAATGTTGTTTATTCGTTTTTTTGTAGAAATTGTTGTTGTTATTGTATTTATTGTAGATGTTGTATTCTGTGGGTGCATTATCTGTGTAAATGTGATAAATGTAAAGTGTAATATGTAAGTTTATTTTAAATAAAATGTAGGTTCGTAAATGTAAATGTGTTTAAAAATAAATTCTTGAAAAGTAAACATTTCTTAAAAAGGCTTTTTCTTGTACCCATTTGATTCTTGGGACTTGAAACCCCTTGACGTGGTAAAATTCAGGTGCAAATAACGAATTTTAATTTTGGTGACTAATATATGTATATACACTGACGAGCAAAACTGTAACACGAGTTCAATGTTTCAACTTCAAAGGTCTGTAACTTTTTTTTCTAAGGCACGCATTTTAAAGATCTTAGTCTTTTTTTGTAGGTTATATAATTTACTACTATTGAGTTAAACTAGAAGCCATTTGATATAGGTTAAAGAAAATGACACGCCAAACTGTAAAAAAAGTCAAATGTTACAGTTTTGCACTCTGGTTATTTTTTTAACAAATATTTTTATTTATTGTTTTTCAATAATGAGTCCACATTCCTTTGGACTTTTTCAGCTCTTCTATGGGATTGGGCATACTTTGGGTATACCGTTGTACCATTTCCGGTGGAACAGCATTCCATATGTCCTGTGTCCGTTCCCACAACTCCTTCAATCTACTTGGAGGAACTGCATATTTCAACAGCCGCGATTTCACAGGACTCCACAATTTTTTTATTGGAGTCATGTCGGGAGATTGTGGTAGCCACTTTATAGATTGAAATTTCTGTTTCGCAATCTTATTTTTCACCATTATGGACGTGTGCTTCGGGTCGTTGCCTTTCTTTGAAAACGCATTTTTAGGCAAAAAGACCCATATTCTCAATAACCTTCGGAAGATTCTCTTGTAAAATGGCTACATATTGCTCCTTTCGCATTATCCCATCGATTAACACTAAAGGACCAACTCCATTTAAATGAATTCATCCCCGAACCATGTTGGAACCGGCACCGTGCTTGACAGTTTTTCGCACATTCCTTGGTGACTGCATCTTAGGATCTCTAGTTCCATACCAAGAGCGTCCATCTGGGTTTCCAAGGTTATATGGTCGGATGAAACAAAAAATAATCGCTTCGAGTCAGATGGACGCTCTTGGTATGGAACATTTAAATGGAGTTGGTCCTTTAGTGTTAATCGATGGGATAATGCGAAAGGAGCAATATGTAGCCATTTTACAAGAGAATCTTCCGAAGGTTATTGAGAATATGGGTCTTTTTGCCTAAAAATGCGTTTTCAAAGAAAGGCAACGACCCGAAGCACACGTCCATAATGGTGAAAAATAAGATTGCGAAACAGAAATTTCAATCTATAAAGTGGCTACCACAATCTCCCGACATGACTCCAATAAAAAAATTGTGGAGTCCTGTGAAATCGCGGCTGTTGAAATATGCAGTTCCTCCAAGTAGATTGAAGGAGTTGTGGGAACGGACACAGGACATATGGAATGCTGTTCCACCGGAAATGGTACAACGGTATACCCAAAGTATGCCCAATCCCATAGAAGAGCTGAAAAAGTCCAAAGGAATGTGGACTCATTATTAAAAAACAATAAATAAAAATATTTGTTAAAAAAATAACCAGAGTGCAAAACTGTAACATTTGACTTTTTTTACAGTTTGGCGTGTCATTTTCTTTAACCTTTATCAAATGGCTTCTAGTTTAACTCAATAGTAGTAAATTATATAACCTACAAAAAAAGACTAAGATCTTTAAAATGCGTGCCTTAGAAAAAAAAGTTACAGACCTTTGAAGTTGAAACATTGAACTCGTGTTACAGTTTTGCTCGTCAGTGTAGATATACACAATTAAATTTAACAATACGCTACACAATAAAAAATTTTCCTACACGGCACGTGTCCTTTACACAACTTGCAAGAACATTTCAAATATAACTAAAAACTTCAAAACTATCGTTGCAAGTTGGCATTGGCAAGAGAGGGTGGAAAAGGTCCAGTTGCACATGCGCTAAAGCTTAAGAGGCGACAATGCATTTCGGTTTTTCGGTTATTGTATTATTATAAAATTGTCTAATCTGTTAATGATATATGGGCTAATTTGGCAGATGGTCAACCAGGACCAAAAATAAATGTCCATATTTCTTGATTCTTTTTATGTATGGTATTTTCATACATTTTTACATTACATTTTTACTTTACATTTTTACATTCATACATTTTTAATAAATCTCTCAATGTGAAGGATCAATTACCTCTTAATTTGTATTTTGTTTCTTAACTATTTTCTAATCGTACGTTCGCGACCACAAAACATAATTTTATTGTACTTGATTCGCATTAAGTGAAAGCAGGTGGATGAAACTTCATATGTTGAGTCATTTTAGTGTAAACTATTGAAATTAAAAAAAAAATTCCGACGTTTGCAAGCCAATTTTTATACCCTTGCAGAGGGTATTATAATTTTGTCCTATAAAGTATATATATTCTTGATCAGGATCACCTCCTGAGTTGATATGAGCATGTCGGTCTATCTGTCCGTCTGTCTGTTTCTACGCAAACTAGTCTCTCAGTTTTAAAGCTATCGACTTGAAACTTTGCACACACCCTTCTTTCCTTTGCACGCAGTATATGAGTCGGAACGCCCGGGATCGGCCGACTATATCCTCTAGCTGCCATATAACTAATGTAAACTATCCGATGAACTTCAACTCCGCCTGAAGTTAGCTTTCCTTCCTTGTTATACCTTTGCAGAGGGTATTATAATTTTGTCCAAAAGCGTGCAATGCAGTGAAGGCGACATCTCCGAATTTATAAAGTATATATATTCATGATCAGGATCACCTCTTGAGTTAATATGAGCATGTCCGTCTATTCGTGTGTCTGTCTCTTTCTACGCGAACTAGTCTCTCATTTTTAGAGCTATCGACTTAAAACTTTCCACACACCCTTCTTTTTTTTGCACGCAGTATATAAGTCGGAACGACCGCGATCGGTCGACTATATCCTATACCTGCCACATAACTGATTGAACGGAAATGGTATAACTTTAAAGTTTTTAGAGTTAGAGAGTTTAAACTTTACAGGAGAGGAGAGCTATGGCAAAATATTACGACATGCAAAATTTCATAAGGATCGGCCGACTATATCCTATAACTGCCATATAACTGAACGATCGGAAATGACCCAACTTTCGTGTTTTTGAAGATAGAAAGCTTATACATTCCTTTCTTGTTTTTTTTTACATTTTTATTTTTGTTTAACAAGCTTGTAAATATTTGAAGATGGATAAAAAAAGCAATAAAAGAAGTGACATTTAAAATTTAAATTAAAAATTAATTTGTATAAAAAAATAAAAAAAAATTTGGTGAAACCTTTTTTTTTTATAAAAATATAAGTTTATTATTTATTTCTAAAAACAAAGGGGTAAAAAACAAAAAAAAAAAACAAAATATGTTATACGTATATGGAAAAATCGTACGTTCGCGACCCTTACTTAATTTAGTTTAAGAAAAACTAATGGAGATATTTAATTGGGAATATACTCAATAGAAAGCTACATGCCTATATTTTAAAAGTAAAGTTATTGCATTAAAATATTCCATTCCAATTCGCAGATTTTTTGATTTTGCCAGAGCAAGCTGAAACCGACTTCCATTTCGCGTACGCTCGCGACCTAATGTTTTTTGCCAATATTAGAAAATGAAAAATCCATTAGGTCCATAATATACACTAATAAAAGAACTCACCAAATGCTATCGATACAAAAAAAAAGGTTCAGAAAATGTTTTTTCTTTAATTTTTTGCACTAATTGCGTACGAACGTACGTTCGCGTCTCTGTCTGCTCACTCCCCTAAAAATCATCCATCGGTAGGGCATGCAAGCACAATTCACATGCAGAACAACAAAAACTTAAAAGCAATCGGCGTGTTTATTGATGTCGACTGAAACATACCTTGTTTCTTTGTCAGTATATTGATTTTTAATGATTCGTAAATGATTCAAAACATTTTACTGCTAACACATATTCTTATTCCTAAATAAATTTAAAATTTATTCTGAATTATTAAAAATTTAATATAATTTCTTTCGTTATTTAACCCAATAACGAATACCCGAATTTTGTTAGGGTAGCAAGCCTGAAAAGTCAGAAAAATCAAAATTTTTGTGCGCCCAGCATGCAATATGAGCGTTTTCGGAGCGTTTTTATACCCTTGCAGAGGGTATCATAATTTTGTCCAAAAGTGTGCAACGCAGTGTAGGAGACATCTCCGACTCTATAAAGTATATATATTCTTGATCAGGATCACCTCCTGAGTTGATATGAACAAGTCCGTCTGTCCGTCTGTCTGTCCGTCTGTCTGTTTCTACGCAAACTAGTCTCTCAGTTTTAAAGCTATCGACTTGAAGCTTTGCCGACACCCTTCTTTTCTTTGCACGCAGAATATATGTAAGTCGGAACGGCCCGGATCGGCCGATTATATCCTATAACTGAACGATCGGAAATGACTCAACTTTCGTGTTTTTTAAGATATAAAGCTGGAACTTGGTAGAGATTATATTTTTGGTCAGTTGATCCGACCTACCGACTATATCTTATAGCTGCCATATAACTGAACGATCGGAAATGGTTTTGGGTAGAAATACCAACTTTTGTATGTTTGAAGATAGAAGTTTGGGACTTTTTTTAGATTTTGTATTGTAATAAATTGGATTATATATTCATATTCTCATAAGGATCGGCCATATATATCTGATGTTTGCGATATATATCCGGTTTTAACTGCAAGGGTATATAAACTTTGGCTCCGCCCGAAGTTAGCTTTCCTTTCTTGTTTTATACTTTATTTTGGGTAAAAACACCCATAAAGTCTTCCGAAAAGATACCGGAAAGAGCGTTTTTCCCTTGAAAATGGTCCGTCATAAGGATGGTAATTTAAAAGTCCGATAAGTGTTTTTTTTTACTCCTAAATAGGTGTTTTCACCCTTAGAATGAAGCAGTGAAAGCCCTCAGAAAACTCACATAAAAGTAGCCTTTCAAGACACCTAA